GACTATGTTGGCAGGTCTTAATAAGGGCTTCCATCTAGCTGCTCTGCAACAATAACCCAATCTGTAGAGAATCCGTTGAACAGATTTCGCGCTCATCCCACCAACTTTGGCCACTTCTGCAGTCGTTAATCTGGGGCCCATTTCGATACTCCTCTTGACAGCCCTTTTTGTCCTCTCCGATGGACTAGGACGACCCGGATGCAGCTCAGTTATTTCTTGAACTGCACGATAATTCTGTTGTCTTTCGAAAGCGGGATTAACAAATTCTGCGAAATTTGCCGCTGACTTATTCCACCATCTGCTTGACCAACTGTCCTTCCTTTAACAAAATCTGACAATTCGAGAGAACCTTGAGTTCTAGGCATGTTGTAGCACAAGATAATTAGTTTGCGGACCATTTTCACTTATATAGTGCTCTGTGAACATAAATAGTTAGCATAAATCAGTTAAATGACGAAAAATTAGGTGTCTATTTACTTGTGACCACTCAGTATAGGTGAACTGGGTGTGTTATAAGAATGACGGTTAAAGCCACTATTCAAGTAGAGTATCCCAAGCGTTGGCAGTGTGTACTGTTGACTAGCTGTTTTCTCTCTCTAGTCTATCAACTTAACGTTCGGGGTGGCTGGTGCAGATGGTTCATGTGTAGCTTTGTTCGAATATCACAAAACAAACAAACTCTTGGAAGGTTGTGACATTTTGGGTTTGTTTGTTTTTGAATTTCGCGCAAAGCTACACGAGGGCTATCTGCGCTAGCCGCCCCTAATTTAGCAGTGTAAGACTAGAGGGAAGGCAGCTAGTCATCACCACCCACCGCCAACTCTTGGGCTACTCTTTTACCATCGAATAGTGGGATCGACCGTCACATTATAAGGCCCCCACGGCTGAAAGGGCGAGCATGTTTGGTGGGACGGGGATTCGAACCCGCGACCCTCAGATTGCGAGTCGAGTACCCTAACCACTTGGCCATGCCGGGCCGACATTTTGGGAGAAGGATACTCAAACATGCTCTAAGCCTTAAGATACTCGATGGACTGCACGATCATTTCATAGTTCAATGTTAAGCCTCATTCTCTACAGTTGCTGTTTTACTAACCCTTATCTTACTCTACTCTATCAGTAGGGATAACAAATGAAAATCGATAATTGCTGCTGAGCCACCAGGGGACGTAAAGCTCAAAAATCATGTAGATAATGATGATGACAAAACCTTGTCGAAACGTTGTACATTTGCTGTTATGTTAAACTTATATTAAAGTTTTTCTTCATTACCCATTCAAGCCGTCTCCAACCATTATGTAGATAATTTGAGTTATGAATATTATAATAAATTGAAATGATGAAAATAAAAAGATTTAAAGAATAATGATTTAAATGGAATCAAAATAAATACTTCCTGCATAAGATCTAAAGCAATGTAACAAATAATTACCCTACTTCTACAGATATAAGAAGTAGTTACTTCGTTTTAAAACCTGGAAACCAATAACTTTCATCACTGAGAAGACGACAGAAGCATTATTTCTGTACAAAAAATTAAAAATGTTTATTTGAAAATAATCCTGATATTTTTAACACGTCAAAAATTGCGTTTTTATATATAAAAAAAAACAATAATAATTTCTTTATTTGAAAATAAATCTTACATGATGAAAACTACTTCGTCTGGAACTCCTCACAAAGTTTGACTTGAAATTTGAAATTTGGCATTTAGGGTTTTGACCCCCAGAAAAAGCCACGATAATGCCTCAAACAAGAGTTTTTTTTGTTTTTTTTTAAGGAATGGGGAGGGGGGGGGGATTAAAACTTGAACGAACTGATTTCCTTGAACATTGCCACTAATATTCAAAGAGCCAATCAAAACAGCAATCTAAATTGAGATTTTCAAAACAAGAAAAAAGTCAAAGATCTAGTATTATAAAAATTAGCGGCAAAAACTTGTAAGGGACCGTTTAAAATTAGTATATAAGATTAGATTTTAGAAATTTTCAAACTGGAGCCTCCTGGAGGAAGCTCTTAGGATTGATTACACACATTTGTGTTCAAAACAAGGTGTTCAATATTGTCTGTGTTACAGTTCTTCTCGTGAATTTTCGCGGGTAATTTAGCTAGTAAAGAAATATTTCCCGAAGTAATAACGTCGACAGTATATAACTAAATATATATTAGCATACCTGTGTTCGCAGACCCAACCGTTACCACACGTGAGATCGGGATTACGGATGACCGGTTTGGTGTTGAAGTTGTCAGAAGGAGGACCAATCCAATCATTCTTGTCCTTACCACCTTCAATTTGTCTTGGCCAAGAGTAACTACTCATCAGACGAGGGAAACCGTATGACCATGCCAACATAAAAGCCGTCGCCATCTTGTACATTCGCGAATCAAAGTGCGTTAAAATGACTCCAAAACCGCCAGCACCATGCCCCCTTTGGTTGTCGTGGTTGTCAATAAAAACGAGGGCGTTGTTTCCTTCCACGAATCCCCACGGTTGGCCGAAATTTTTCAAATATTGCATTTTTTCTCCGCCGTTTTTTCTGACGACATTTCCTTTGTTATATGTGAGGAATAACATTTTATGAGATAATTAAAAACGAATCGTTATCCTAACTTCCTTTTAGAAGTTTCATCAATTATTTAACCATATGTTGATTATTATTAGTGATATCTTTAGATAAACTATTATTTGTAATGGCTGATATAGTAGTATTTATAACGTGAATTAATCCACTTAGTTTTATGTTGCGTTATGAAACCAGATGACCATGTGACGTTCTGAGGGAACATTAAATATTTGTATACAATTTTTAATTAAATTATCCTGTAGTTAGGGCGCTCGACTCGCAATCTGTGGGTCGCGGGTTCGAATCTCCATCCCACCAAACATGCTCGCCCTTTCAGCCGTGGTCAACCCCACTACTCGTTGGTAACAGCTCCATTTCTATGACCCATTTTGACATTCCAATCAGAAGATCAATAACACTATTGGTTTGAATCGTCAAGAGGCAGAACTCCCTTCCAAACCTTTCCGCCCAAATATAGCCCCTGTACTTTACTGTGAAACATTCATATTCCTGGTGTTTTATTTTCAGTGATTTCCCGTCAAGCAATTTGGTAGTAACCACAGGATTGGTCTGGTTTGTTTTGAATTTCGCTCAAAGATACACGAGAGCCACCTGCGCTAACCGTCCCTAATTTTTGCAGTGAGAGACTAGAGGGAAGGCAACTAGTCATCACCGCCAACTCTTGGGCTACTTTCCCTCCTCTTTCAAAACTCCAACTTAACTATTGGTAAATTCACTAATCAGTATACGTCTTCCAGTACAAAAATGTAGCCCCCCAGTGGCACAACGGTATGTCTGCGGACTTACAACACTAGAATCCGGGTTTCGATACCCGTGGTGGGCAGAGCACAGATAGCCCATTGTGTAGCTTTGTGCTTAATTACAAACAAACAAAAAATGTATCCCTACAACACAAAATGTTGATAAAGAGAAAATAACTAACAAAAATTATATCAAACAATATTACTTGTTATATGGAATCCAACATCTTAATTGCGTGAACCCAGTTGGATACATACAAACCGAAAGTGTGATATATTCAAAACCAACAACTTTCTTCTGAAATTAGGTAAAAAAAACAACGTTATTGCAGTACAATGACGGTTTAATTTCGTTCCTTCGGACTTTTATCACTCTCAAGATCTTTTTGAGAGACAACATTTTTCGATATTCGCGCAAAGGTATTCAAAGGCTATCTGCGCTAGCCATCCCTTATAGACTAGAAGGAAGGCAGCTAGTCAACAGCACCCACCGCCAACTCTGGAAGAACTTTTCGTCTGGCTGAATAGTGAGATTTGACTGTTACTCATATAACGTACCCACGACTCGGAAATGCAGAGCACAGTTTTTTTGTGTGTGAACGTGAAATAAACCGGGATCTTAGACTTACTCTTCCTTCGTGGGACAGCAGTAAGTTTATAGGCTTACAGCTTTAAAATCCGGGTTTCGATTCCCTGCGGTGACACAGCAGATGGCCAAATGTGGCTTAGCTCCAAAAGAAACACAACACACACAACTTGAACTTACCAAATAAACTAACACATTTCTAGATGTAGGGGACCTTTGTACCCCTGAAAAAAAATCTCCTTACCCAGTTTAAATCCATAGCGGAATTCTGTCACTCGGCCTAGATGTGTGTATTCTTTTGCACTGACAGCCTCGCCCCCCATGTCGATAACTTCCATAACAATGAACGGTCTAGTATTACTTCTAAACCACTTGGGGTTTAAGTCCTTCAGACTGCCGAATATGGCCTGAAGGTCTCCAGGCCACATGTGTTTCGAAGCGTCCACTCGAAACCCTGCTACTCCTATGTCGATGAGCTTGTTCATGTAGTCAGTGATCTTACCTCTGACATACCCTTTACTTAGGTCAAGGTCATTCAGGCCCTCAAGCTTACAGTTTCTAACCTAAAATAAAATAAAATACAGGAAGTTGATTTCGTTTCTTATGAGCTACATTAAGAACATTTTTTTAAACCATCCATTCAAAAGCAGCAAATAGTTTCAGAAATAAATTTTCAAAGTAAAACTAACATGTTTAAAAAGTTACATTTTCAATATATTGCTAACAACAAAGTTGTCTTTAACGACACATAATCAAACACTAGTCAATTATATGATATGAAATTAAGGCAGCAACACCAAATTTGTAACATTTAATGCATTGTTGTTGTTTTTTTTATGGGGGATGACGTGTAAAGGCATGATTGGTGGTGCCGTTTCCCTTGACAACAGAACTTACCAATGGCAATAAGTTGAAATGGTACTAACAATTACGATTTACATTTTGTAACTGAAAATACTTTTCTCGTGGAATTTAAACGCACAGATTTTGCAAAATACTTAATGAAAGAAACATTACCTTTACTTTGGAAGGAGGAATTAATCTTATTTCAAGGTACCAGGACTGAAGTTCTGGGAAATGATCACAGAATAGCTAAATCTTAAATACGTGTGTAAGCGCCAAAAGAAAAGGATTTTTTAGGTTAGAAATAATCGTTCAAAATTATATACTTTTTTTGTTTGTAATTAAGCGAAAAGCTACACAATGAGCTAATTGTGCTGTGCCCACCACAGGTATCGAAACCCGGTTTTTAATGTTATAAGTCCGCATACTTAACTGTGTTGTTTTAAGTAAAGGGTTTTGTTTCTTACATGTTTATTATTGAGCACAAACCTGCAGAATGAGTTGTTTAGGCTGTGCCGCCACGTGGATCGAACCCTGAACTTTTAGGGTTAAAAGCTAAATGGAGACTTTGTCGCTACTAACACTTTCAAACTTCTTTAATTCATAAATTGTTTCATTCTTCGGGTCAGGCCCGGCATGGCCAGGTGGATAAGGCGCTCGACTCGCAATCTGAGGGTCGTGGGTTCGAATCCCCGTCCCACCAAAGATGCTCGCCCTTTCAGCCGTGGGGGCGTTATAATGTGACGGTCAATCCCACTATTCGTTGGTAAAAGAGTAGCCCAAGAGTTGGCGGTGGGTGGTGATGACTAGCTGCCTTCCCTCTAGTCTTACACTGCTAACTTAGGGACGGCTAGTGCAGATAGCCCTCGTGTAGCTTTGCGCGAAATTCAAAAACAAACAAACAAATTCTTCGGGTCTTCACCTGATTCGCGTCGTGATAACTTTCGATGTTTCCACTCCTAGTTTGACACTTTTCTTTCGAGTTAAAGTCCAAGTAGCTGTATGGTACACCATCGTATTTCTGTGCTCCAGGATCAAAGTAGCTTCCCGCAGTACCGTGACCAGCGCCTATGTCTCCAGTCATATGGTTAATGACGACGTCCACGTAGATCCTTCAAGGAAAAAAGGGAAGATAGAAAGAAGTGTTTCATGAGCTACGGTAGGGTTTAAAATCGCGTGCTCGTATTTGATTGGTTGTTATTGTAAATTTTTAACATATGCACGGAATATTTTTGTGTATATTGTTACGCCTCCAGTCGTTAGTTAATTTTACGTAAATTCGTTCCGACGAAACTTTAGCGACACAAGTCCTTTCTTAAATAAAACTGGTTTATTCTTTCCGAATACAACTTTACGATACACTTAATTTCAACAGCCGCGCTATAACAAACGCTTCAACAATACTCTCTGACTGCAGTTCAATTACTCACTACCTACACACATTCCCGTCACGTTGTGACCATCTTATATATATACCAGCCTACCCCCAATCTAGTAAATGCTAGGGCATTCACGAAGGAACAGGATATTTCTAGAAACGTGGCGTGACACTAGTCACGTGACCTCGCTGAGGCAACACTCCCCCTCCTTAGTATTGTTCGTCCCGAACAATAACCACATAGAATAAACCAATAACAATAACTTAATTAAATGTACAGAATTACAAACACAAAATTACAATTCAACAAAGTCTCTTAATTTTACGAGACGTATCTTCTTCCGTACTGGTCTACATCTCGTTGGCTTTTGCTTCATATGGGGTTCATCTGCTTCATCAGGAAATGTTCTATCGTCAGTAACAGTCACATCAGTGGTAGTAACTTCATCAAGAGCTTCATCGTTTCCCTTCTCAAAACTGAGTAGAGTTTCTTCTTTGACAGTGGATTCTTCAGGTGGCACGTCTTTAGCAGCGTCATTTGTTCTGTTTTCCACTTCGTCCCAACTGAAATGTCCTGGACCGTGATAACGCCAAAGCCTGTTGGCATGCACCACTTTTGGCTTACCTCGCCGACCACATTTTATCCAGAAAGTCACGTTTGAGAGACGATCCACTACGTCATATGTGCCTTCCCATGGAGAAGACAACTTAGGAGACTTCCCTTTGGTTTTCCAGGGATTATACAACAACACTTTGTCTCCTGGTTCAAAGCTGACTTCAGTAGATCTCTTATCATAAGTTAACTTCATCGAATCAGCAGACGTTTTCAAGTTTGAATGCACTTGATGGTGGATATCATCC